AATTGAAAATACAAACACATAATTATTATTTTTATCATTCCTTACTTGTGTATTTAAAGCACGCCTAGAAACTAACAATCTACCTTCCATACGTGTTTTCCCATCACTACAATCCTCTAAAGGAAGCATTTCATCCTCCACATCACTCTCATCATCCGTTTCATACCATCACTATGCATCACCATTACCCTTTTATTTGGACATTGAGATGCAATATGACCAAAATCTAAGCATATAAAATACTTGATATCTCTATTTTTAGGAGTCTGGGAGTTAGAAATACATTTATTTTTATTATCATTAGCATCTTTTGGCTTGATTTTGTCATCTCTTTTGAATTGGACAGCCTTGTTATCTCCCTTCTAATTCAGCCTCTAATTGGAATTTTGGGCCGAATAAGTGTTTGTTTGCCTTGTGTTCCCTTTTCGCTTTAATTGTTTTTCAATCTTTATAGCCATGTGCACCATATCATCAATTTTCACATAATGTTGAAGCTCTAAATGTTGGCTATCGTTTTGTTAAGGCCATTTAATAGTAGTTTTCCTATCCTCTTCAATATTAGCCCTTGTCATAGCTATATCCATCTCTTTATAGTAGTCTTCTACACTCTTGTTCCCTTGTATAAGGCTTTGCAATTTTTGATGTAAGTCCCTATAGTAGTGAGTAGGAACAAAGCGTCTTCTTATGATAGCCTTCATTTCGACCCAAGTGGAAATAGGTCTTTCGCCATTTCTCTTTTTACTTGTGATGAGTTGATCCCACCACACAATGACATACTCTCTAAACTCCACGACTGCAAGCTTTATCTTTTTCTCCTTCGAATAATTGTGGTACTAAAAAATAAGCTCCACCTTGCGCTCCCATTCAAGATAAGCATACAGATCATTCTTGCGTAAAAACAATGAGATTTTTATTTTGATGCTCCCAATGTTTTTATCAAGATCGTTTCGACCCCTACCATAATTTTGACCTTCATTGACCAAAGTATCTTGGTCATCAAATTCTTCCTCCACTTTCTCATCAAAAGGTGGTGTTGGAAGTCTTGTTGCCCTTGGATTGGTTTGGGAAGCTTCCCCTCTTAAGGAATTTAACTCACTTTGTTGTTTCTCTAGTTTCTCATTCATGTTGCCAATAGCTAGTTGAATCCTCTCAAATTGTTGTTGCATTACTTTGAGGATGAATTTTTGATCTTTTGATGTTCTTTCACTCCCTTGTGGCTCCATCTTCAAACTTGAACTTTTAATGACAAACAAAATAGATTGCAACCTCACAAATCACTCTCTCACGTGTTTATTCTCTTAGTATGGGCACTCGTGTTTCACTCAGTTTTGGCTTTTACTCTCTTTTGAGCTCACACTCTCTTATTTTTTTACCACTCAAGCAATCTTTTTATAACTTTATAGAAAAGAGCCAATTCAAACAATAATTAATTATCACTATATACTCAATTTTAATTAGAGATAACAAATAATTCCTAAAGAAACAACATACATGAATTCAACTCTAGAAGCAAACTATAACAATCTAAACAATAAAGAGCACACACTTGATATAGAAATAAGTGTATGATGATTTTTATGTTAATTAGGCAACAATGAATCAATATTATTACCTCAAGATGTAATAAGAATCAAATTGGCAAAAATATTAAATGAAAACTATAGATGCAAGAACAAAAATGGTGAATCTGAAATTTAATGCACGAAACTTGTAATTCTTTAATAGAATCACAAATTATCACCCAAAATACTCAAATTAAGTGAAACAAACAGTTTTGGATGAAAACAGACTCAATTGAGGTGAGTTATTTCCAAACAGCCTAAAAAATTACACAAGGTAGAATTTGTTGAAGTGTGTTCTACACAATTAAGCTATTTAGGCTAATCTAATTTTTTTTTTGGTTGAATATAAAGTTATCTTTTTTTTTTAGTAAGAAATAATGAAAATAAAGATAACAAAATAAGGATATAATAATTTACTTGGTGAACTTGGCTCTGATACCAAATGATGCGGAATCCCAAGACTCTTGCTTGAACCTTAGAACTCTTCAATTGATCTAGAACAGAATTTAGATCACATGTAAAAATGAATCAAATTTGTTTAATCACCCAAATGATAAAAGTTAAATAGAACTCAAGAAAGATAAAAGATATCCTTTGAACTCAATCCAAACAAGAACCAAGAACAATTGAAATAGGAAATCAAAATTGAAATATAAGTGATAACAATTGTATTCCAAATCAACACATTGTGCATAAAGTGAAAAGAAAGCCAAAATACTCTTCACTCAATTCTGAAATATTTGATTACCACTTATGATGTCAACAATAAAAAGTTCTTTTGGTATTTATAGCCAAAGAAATCAATGATAAGTTACAATACAATAACTACAATTGTAACTTCCACAATAACTAGGCTAATTATGTGATAATTACAATTATAACTCCAACAATAACTAGACTAATTATAGGCATGTAATTATTATGTAACTCCTTGTAACTTCAATCTTCTTAGCCAATACCATTAATTATTTGTGGCACCATATAGTTATAAGCTCATTCTTGTAATAACACTAAGACAAGACTTAAGCCCAAATGAGTTACACTTGACTATATGGGCTTATTTAACTCAAACTAAAATTAAATAATCCAAAATACTTAAAACAACTCAACTAATCCAGTCCATACACAAAACTTATTCACCTATTACCAATAAGACTCAAACAAGCCCAAATTATCCCAAATCATTTTACGAACCATCCCATCATCCACATGTTTTTGAATGAAAATTTGGAGCAACTCTTTAAGCTTCTTTACCTTTGATCTTGTTACCGGTCCGCTGAAACTTTTTAAGTTTAGAACTATATTTGTGTTCACATCATTTAAAATTTGCTCAAAGTCACATTTTGATACTCTTTGAGTATCTTGAGTGTTTTTTGCCTTATTTGCATCAAATAGTCACAAAATCACAAATAGTACGTCACTCTATTACTGATATCACAGTGTCAGAACTAGTTCTTATTACCGATATCACAATGTCAGAACTAGTTCTTATTACACAACAATGTTAAAATAACCAATAGTTAACCCTGACAAGTAGGTTCACAAGACTCAATGTTTAATCTCCATTGATAAGATAAGGAATTATCAACCAATATTTAACCCTCATTGATAGGATAACAATACATAATATTTAACTCTATTTATAGGACCAAAATTGTTAGGAACCGTCTTCTCTATTGAGAAAAGAGCACTATTACACATATAAAATCTAATAAATTTGCGCAATAATATGTTAAAATTTAAAATTCAATTATACATCTTTTATAGGGAGTTACAAATCATGAGTCTCACAAAACACTTTACATCACATTGCTACAATATAATTAATTCTATTTTATTTTACAAAATAATACTTCCAAAGTTGCTAAAGATTCATTTAGAGTTTTTTTTTTTAAGCTTGACCATACTCTTGATTTGAACAAATCTACACTGAAAGAGATATGAATTAGGGTGAGTTTCACGTGCCTAGTAAGACATGCATATACTCACTCGCATCAGATTTATAGAATAGATGCAAGTTTTATTTAAAACTAATTCTCACACAGAAAATAATATAGTAGCAATGATTCCACACGTCTTAATAATTCTCTCATTCACATATAATTTCTCTAACACTACAAATATTCTAACATCATATTCACATAAATAAATAATTTCATCGTAATACTCTTCATTGATTTCACAACACTTGCAATTATACTTTTTAATAACCGTACGTATTTATCACTTCAATAAATTATCTTATTTTCCTTTTTGCAGTTCCATACTCATTAGTAAATCATTTTGATCCTCATAAACAATTATCGTCAGAACATATTCATATCCAGATGTCATGTATATCAATCAAACTTAATCATTTATCATTTGCCACTCCATTTTAGAATTAGAGTTTTATTTAGTTTTAAATTTGATTACCTAATACCCATCTACATGAGGATACTCGAAATATTTTTATAACAAACTCTTTACATTGGCAG